AACCCGGGTTGGCCTCGTGCAAGGCAAAAACCGTACAAGCTGTGCTATCGCTCCAGCCTCAAGAAAATGTAATTTATAATTACTAAATGAGATACTATTTAACTTTAATTTATGGTTATTTATAAAAACAATAACATTTATGGCCCAGGAGATAGCTCAAAAGGTAGAAAAATCACATGCCTGTGTGCATAAGCCCCTGAATTAAGTCCCAGCACTGCCAAGTGTGACCCAGTTGATAAGGAAAAGGTGGTTCTATTCAGTGGCTGCTCGGGAGGTCCTTGAAGGGTGGAACACATGCCCTTGCTTGCTAGAGGCCGTTTTTGATCACCCAGCCGACAGTCACAGCTGGACCAGGCATCACGGGGACCCCCAGCCCCGTCACTAACAGCCAACTCTCACAGCTGGACCAGACATCACTGGGAATTGCCCCTTGAGCCACAGAGCACTCCTAGGAGACCTCTATAAAGGAATAAGAGCTTCTCCAAAGGAACGCCAAGTGGCAGGTAGTGCCAGTGCCGCAGGAAGCCCCAGAGGCCAGAATGAGAGGTCTCGGAGGTTTCAGAACTGCAGAGGCTTTAGCATTGGCATCATGGCACCAGTGCCCATGCTGATAATGATAACGACCGCCCCCTACCCTCCCAGGGCCAGGGTTGGGGGCAGCTTCCTGGAGGCAATACCAAGGACAGGGAATGGGTCCTTGGTATTTCCAAACTAGGCCACTTGGACAAAGACATTAAGATCAAGTCTGTCTTAGAGATCTGTCTCTTTCTCTTGCCTATCAGGGATCTTTTTTTCTGGAACTGTTCCTCAAAGACCAAGTTTCGAAGATCATGCCCTTGGGCTGACTATTGGACCAAGTTTCAGGTTTTTGGATTTTGTTGGCATTGGGGATTATATATTATATACTGGAGCGATAGCACAGCAGGTAGGGTGTTTGCCTTGCACACAGCCAACATGGCCGACCCGAGTTCAATTCCTCCATCCCTCTCGGAGCTCCTGGCAAGCTACCGAGAGTATCTCTCCCGCAAGGCAAAGCCTGGCAAGCTACCTGTGACGTATTTGATTTTCCAAACACAGTAACAAGTCTCACAATGTTACTGGGGCCCACTCGAGCAAATCGATGAACAACGAGAAGACAGCAACAGTGGAGATTATTACAGATATATCAATCTATAGGTAAAATGCTTCAAGGAGGTGGTCACTGCCATTCGAGGGACCTGCATCTTGGCCAAACTCTCCATCATTCCTCTGCCGGGATTGTAGGGGAACAGGTTCGGCAAAAGCCACAGCGTATTGGTGTGCCTTGCCCCTGCCCCAGGGGCACAGACAGAGTCCAGGACCAGTGCCCATGATGTTGCTGATAGTGATAATGACCGGCAGTGATGGCTGCTACACCTGGGCCATGGGCTATCCCACCACTCTGGGCAACTGCCAGTGCACTTCAGGGTCCCCAATGCACTTCAGGGTCCCTGGTGCATGCTGCACCAGGTGCACGCCACAAACTCCTCCCACCAGAACCAAAAGGCAAAAACAACCCATTGTCTTCACAAATTTTTGATCACTTACCTAGTACTTCAATGCAGATAAAGAAGGTATTATCATAGTTCCATTCTAGTAGATGATGAGAATAGAAGATGACTTGGTCTGTCCTCCCCCATCAATTCTTAGATTTTTAGATTCTTAGAATTTTAGAAGGAACAGATGTCAACAGAAATGATAGTGTTTCACTTATGAATCCCTAGGTAAACGCATCAGTATTCTTGATTACCAAGGACCATTGAGTCATTCTGGGTCATAGTAGTTCATGTTTTATTTGTATACCATCTTTGTTTCTTCTTTGGAAACAGTTTTTGGGCTGATGCCTCATTTATAAGTAAAATAGTTCTTCCTGTAGTTAATCATATATATGTATGTGTGTGTGTGTGTGTGTGTGTGTGTGTGTGTATTCTTTATGGACCAAAATATTTTCCAGAGCTCCAATTACTGTATAGAAGCTCCTTTTTATCAGCTGCCATGAGTTTTATATGAATATGTATATGCAGGCACACATTTTCTTTTTCTGGGTGCCAGAGATTGAACCCAGCGCCTTATAAGTGCAAGGATAATGCTCTATTTTTGAGCCATATTCCTGGCCCTGGGAATGATAAATTTTTAAAAAATTAACTTGAGCAGATAAAGCTTGGTGGCAGCGCATGTAGTTTACATTTGTGAGGCCCCAGCACTGCAAATAATAATGATGATGATAATAATAATAAAAAGAAGCTTTAACTGTAATTCACTAACATTTTCTTGGCATATTTATTTATGATCTGCATGCTGCTTTTTATTTTTATTTTTACATGTTTATTTAACAAACTCTAACCCTTTTCCATGTGTAATTTGGATGATAAAATGCTCGGTTTTCAGGATTGAGATTTAAAAGTACTTTGGGGCTGGAGAGATAGTTCAGCGGGTAGGGCATTTGCCTTGCACGCAGCTCACCTGGGTTCAATCTTCAGCATCCCATGTTGTCCCCCAAGCACTGCCAGGAGTAATTCCTGAGTGCAGAGCCAGGCGTAACCCCTGAGCATCGCTGGGTGTGACCCAAAAAACAAACAAAAAAAAGTATAAGTACTTAAAGTAGAACTCAACCAATTTCATCCTGATCTCTCTCTCTATATATATAAATATATATATGTGTATATATAAATATATATGTGTATATATATATACACACAAGGCTCAACCTTTAACAACATGTTAGTAATCTCTCATATAAGGGCTTAATGGCTCCAGGGTGAAATACAACAACCTTCCCACACTTTCCTCTAAGGAAACTTTTTTGGATCATTTTTAGCAGATTCTTCATAACAGGCAATCTAAAATAAATTATTTAGGACCTGCTTTGGGGCCAGGTTTGGGTGGTGGTGGTGAAATTCAAGATAATGGTGGTAGGAAGGTATTATGGTGGTGGGATTGGTGTTGGAATATTGAATGTAATTATTGCGAAGAACTTTAAAAAGTAAAATTGAATTAAGAAAAATAATAAAAACAAATCACAAGTATCTAGAAAAAAGCATTGTTGTAGAATTTTGGAATGCTAATATATAAGATGTTCTCTACTGCAAACCACCTCTCTTGAAAGATCAGATTTATATATGGTCTTAATGTCAAAAATTTTCCTGAAGTAAAGAAACCTGTTAAACTTTATTTATTGTCTTAATATTTCTCAAACTTAGTCATTGTGGGAGGCCCAGAGGATTGATTGCTGGCACTGCATTGTCCCTTGAGCCCTACCAGAAGTGACCTTCAGAGCATTGAGTCAGAGAACAAGCCCCAACACCAGTGGGTAGCCCCAGACAGAAACTAAATTAAAAATAATCTTCCATAGTCTGTAAGAAGTGTCTCAAAAATAATTGGAAGACAGTATACTAGAATTTTGTTTCATTTTGAGGTCACACCCGTGGCTGCCCCGGGCATACAGGCTTTGTGCTTAGGGATCACTCCGAGGGCTGCTTGAGGACCATATGGGGTTCCCCAAGTTGAGCCCAGGTCAGCCACGTGCAAGGAAAGGACCTTATCTGCTGTACAATTGTTCTAATCTCAGTCCAAGAGTTTCTTATTTAGAGGTTTATCGGCAGCCTCTGAAAAGTTTTGAACAATATAAAAGACCTTGAATCTTGGTTTGTGTGTGTGTGTGTGTGTGTGTGTGTGTTGGCAATTTTTTTCCTGCTGGTGAAAAGTAAATATATTCAGCTTTGGGACCAAATGGTCCTCCTACAGTCTGTTCATCTCTGCTAGGAAAGCAATCATAGGTTAATATGGACGAGCTGCTTCATTAAGGCCACTGGGTTTACACACTCCCGCTATGTTGCGGTGCATTTTCTCAGAGCCAACCATGAGAATGGGAAACATTTTACCGTCCTCTTACACTGTTCCGTGTATTTATAATGATTTGCTCTTTTATGTTCAACTGAAGTATCGAGAGGTTGACTTATTCTGTGGTCAGTGCCTAATTCCTCAAATTACTCATGTTTCAGTAAGGTTTTAGGAGAGAGATTCATTCTCCGAGTTTGTGTACCATAAATATTTTTTTAAAGACTTTATGTTGGATTAACAATTCCAACTGTATTTCCATAATACTTTAGGAGAAAATTAAGCAAGTTAATTACCATACGTAGTGTTTTATAAAATTTGCATGAATAAGACAATGAGTATTTTCTTTCAGTGATTTATGTTATGATTGTTTTTATTTAAAATATAATGTGTTTTCTTGGTTACAAAGGGTTAGCGTGACAAAGTAGTGTTGAAGTATATTGTGTTCAGCATTTATGTCTAAAAGTTCAATTAAATTGAAAATGTTTATATTCTTGTGATAAATCCCATTTAAAGATTTTATCTTAAGAAAATAGTCTAAATCTCGAAAAAGCCGTTTCCTCAGGAACTTACTATTTATAATACTGAAAACTCAAGAATAAATATTTTTACAAGGTGTATATGTATTTGGAGAAGCTGGGACCAGACCCTACTAGTGCCTGAGGGCTACTCTGGCACAGTTCAAGGAGGCTGGGCATTGCAGGTGATCTTACTGCGTGCAAGACAAATGCCTAAACCCTTGTACAATCTCCCTAACTCCAAAATAACTTTAACGTTCTTTAGATTAACAGGTTAAATTTCATGTAACTATTCAAGGTGATATTTATTATGAGTAGAATATTAGCACTCGATATAGACCATTTAAAAACAATAATTAGAGCCTGTATACAGAAAGAAGTATGAAAGCAATTACATAACTAAATAACTATAGAGTACTGATTTTGCTTTTTTCCCCCACAATAAGACTTTCAGAGATTTATTCTTTGCCATATTTTCTAAGTTTATTGTACCAATAAGTAATATCTGCTTTTATGTGTGTATGTGAATTATTTGTTTACTTTTTAATGAGACTGAATTTTTTTCCCCTCAAATAATCTGTATGGAATTTTGACCTAATAGTGCTTTCTTTTAAATATTTGTTCTAGAGAGTAGCAGATCGTCTCTATGGTGTATATAAAGTACATGGAAATTATGGGCGAGTTTTCAGGTAAGCACTCGACAGATTTTAATAAACAGCAGGCAGAGGCGGGAGGAACAGCACGAAGGTCACATGAGGCCCTGAGTCTGCCCCCCTTCGCTGTGGCACTAATGCCCTAGTATCCCTGGGCCTGAGCGCTGACCCTTCATGCTTTTGCCATTGAGCAGGGTGTCTGGTGCGAGGACTGCTTGGGAGCTTCTCCCTATCCCCACCCTAAGCCCTCCACTCCCCCAAAACAGAACAGCTTTTCGCCTAACAACTATAATTCTTAAAATACTGAGTCTGAAAAATATGTTTTTGAATGTAATCATTATCGGATTTGCCATCCAAGCCTTCTTGGTGTGAGGCCTCACACTTTGCAAGGCAAGAGCTAGGATACCCTTGTTACAACTGGGTGTGATCTCCCGTCACTTTATGTAATGTATAATAAATGCTCCTGTCTGGGGTGCTTGGGATTGCCAGCCACGCAGAGGCATATGTCTTCCCCGCTGTCCTGTCTCTCTCCATGCCATCATTTTGGTAGCTATTGCCAAATTACCCTGTATAGAAGTATACCCGCTAGCAAAGTTTTTATATCAGTATCTTCACATCCTCACTCGGTGTGTTAATAAATTGCCTTTACCAGTTTGATGGTTTAAAAAAATATGGCTTCTTACTATAGCTGTAATTTGTGTTTCTCTAGTTATGAAGCTCACTAACCAGTGAACTTTCTTGTCACTTGAATAAACTTCGTGTGTTCAGCTGTTGCTCTTTTTTCTATTTGGCTTGCTTTTTCTTGATTTGGTGCGGGAAGGGCACACCTGGTGGTGCTTGGGGAACTTTTCGTAATGGGGATTTCATTCAGGACTCCAGTATGCAAAGCTCCAGCCCTTGGAGCCATCTCCGTAACCCTGTTATCCAGAGAAACCAGAGGTGGTTGAGCTCACTGAAGCAGGTGATCAGGAACCGGAACGAAAGCAGCTGGCAGTAGAGGCGAAGGGGGGGCGGGGGGGCACAGCTAACTCCAATAGACCCTTCCAGTTCTTCACACATTACTGAGCTCCTGCTACCATAGTGAGTGCTAAGAATACTAAGATTTAATTTGTGATTAATGTCTGGGTAAGAAGATCGTAACAAAGAGTGCAAGGGGAGGGCGCGAGACTGCCATTGGATGGTGCGTTTGTCTCACTTACACAGCCCAGCCAGGATTAATTCCTGGCACCGCATATTCCTGACTCTGCCAGCATTGATCCCTGAGTGTAGAACCAGCTGTGTAAGCCTATAGCACTGCTCTAGTGTGGCCAAAAAAAAAAAAAAGAATGTAGAAGAGCAGGTTTGAGGGTGAGTTAAAGACTTGTTTTGGATGAATTGTTCTACTATGGCCAGAGCAGTAGTGCAGTGCATAGGGTACTTGTCTCACACATGACTAGCCAGGCTCAATCCCTGGCGCCACATGTGGGTGCTCAGTCCACCAGGAGTGACCAGAATGCAGAGCCTGGAGTAAATCCTGAACACTGCCAGGTGTGACCCCAAAGCAAAGCAAAAAACACTATTTGAATTAAAGATTTCTCTTAAGCAACAAAAATTTGGACCAAGAGTCTACGTCACAGATGAGAGCAGTGGTTTGGACAGTGTTTCACAACTTTTTTCCAAATATAGTCCCCTTCTAACCTTTCTTCGACCCACTGTCCTACTGGTCCTACTGGTTGGTCTTCTGGCCATGTGCCCTACCTCCCACTCCCCCATTTTACACGAGTTTTACCTGTGGTCCCCTTCAGGAATGCTGAAGGTAAGGGACCATAGAGCCCCTGGTTGGAACCACTTGCTTAGAGCACACTTTATAAGCATATAGGTTTGCTTCTCAGCATCCTGTATGGTTCCCAAGCCCCACCAGGAGCGATCCCTGAGCACCCTGTGGCTTTAAAGCAAAAATTAAAAGAACCAGCGAGGAGGGGCCAGAAAGCTAGTTCAAAGAACTGCACATGTGGCACTGCCTGGAGCCACCGAACACCATTGTATCCCCAAAACAAAACTTTTTTTTTTTTTTTCGGTGATGCACAGGGGTTGCTCCTGGCTCATGCACTCAGGAATTACTCCTGGTGGTGCTCAGGGGACCATATGGGATGCTGGGAATCGAACCCAGGTTGGCCACGTGCAAGGCAAACACCTACCTGCTATGCTGTTGCTCCAGCCCCACAAAGCAGTTGTTTCAAAGAAACAGTGGGGAGACTGTTCGAAGAGTGGCAAAGAAAAGGTGTGTACCGTGTCAAGCAAGCAAAGAAAGTAGTTCAGGAAGGTGAAGGTTTCTATAATTCTCAAAGCTGAGATTTTCTTCTGCACTGAGAATGTAGTACAGTGTTAGAGTATGTGCTTCATGTGATTGGCAGCAAGAGAGAGAGAGAAAAAAAGAAAACAAAAAAAGAGAAGGGAAAGGAAGGATGAAAGGCAGCAGGGAAGCTCTTGGATGCAGGAGGGTCAAACAGGATCCCTGGCCTCTGTCCCATGCAGCAGCTGGGCTGTCAGAAACTTAATGGACAGAGGAAACTGACTGTGGACCTGCTGTGTTCCTACCCAGTCATGTACCATCTCTATAGAACCGGGAACAGCTGGGGACAATTGTATGCAGATATATTTGAGAGCTTCTATCAGTTTTTGCAAATTTTGCCTTTTTTAAAAAAATTTGATCTCTGGCATCAACTGCACGTGCCAAGTGCAGACTCAGTGGTACTGGCTGTTTGTGATCTTAGTGCTACAACCGAATGTACAAACACTGCAGCAGCAGCCCCCGATCATGGCAACGCACACACATATGTATCTGCCACATGGGTCACACTTGTATGTTACCGTGTAGACTGTACCAACAGAAAGAATCGTCACTGCCAAAATTTCATGTTACATTTTAGTTCCACATTGGTCCAAAGTAGAGCATTATCAATGAAGCCACTAGATGGTGAGAAGCACGAATTGCAGTGCCAGTGACTGTGGGATTTTTATGTACACCTAGATAATGAACCTCTTCTCTTTCTTTCTCTCTCTTGCTCACGCGCGCTCGCTCTCTCTGGCCAGAGAGAGAGAGAGAAAGAAAAAAAAGAGAGAGATAAAAGTTTTTACCTTTCAGATGTAAAAGCAAATTTATTATTCAGAAGACTTGTGCCATGTTTATTATAGGACTTCTGATGTCCATGATGAAATTTCCAATTTGGAGAAACAGTGATGAGTGAAATATAGGGACTGAGGTGGGCAGAGAAATAGCCCAAAGTGCTGGTCACACGCCATTTGGAAGCCCCACTTTGAGCCTGAGCACCGCCTTTTCCACCAAACACTGTTAGGGACCGCCCCTGAGCACAGTCTGGAGTAGACCCAAATGATGCTAGGTGTGGCCTAAACCAAATCCCAAATCCCTTCTCCCCACCAAAGAAGAAAAGGGTTGATGAGCAATGTCAGTTGTTGAGGTGCTTTTTACTTATTTATTTTGGGAGTGTCGGTTGTTAACCTGTGAAAGTAATGACAAAGTTGAAAAAGAGCTTAATTGGTTCTTATGCTTTGGTTTGGGATTTAAGAAGGGAAGAAATACAAAACTGGTTTAATCCGCTTCACGTTCGTTTAAGTTTTTTCTAATGTGTACCACAAGTGCTTTTATTGAGTTAAGCTTTGGTAAGTTGGAAATTGAAGTGAAAGACTGGATTAAGAAAAAAGATTTATGGTGAGTGGAAAGGGATTTTCAACATGGGAAAGACAGATGGCAAGATAGGCATATGTAAGAAATGAGAGGAATTAGATGCCCAGAGAAGTAATAGGAAAGGTTGCATGGTATGTTTATGTCACATATTGCTAGTGCTTTTTTTAAAATACAAGAGTTTATTTTGTATTCTGAAGTTCTTAGGCTTTGCAGCCCCTCCTTGATTGCAGCTTTGACTCTAATTCAGGGTAGTCGACAGGCCATTCTCAGTAGGGGCCATTATCATTGTCTGTATTTTCTTTTGACTTCAGACTGAGCCTTTCCAGTGAACCTGAATTGGACTGAATACAGAGGTGGATTCATGCTGCAGAAGATTTAGGAAAAAAGGAGAAAAAAAAATTTGTGTTTTCTTTATTTATTTGCAGCTGATGAAAGTTGTCAAGAGCTAATAGCATGAAGTTATAATTGTTAATTGAACATCTTAAATACATTAATTGGACATCTTTAATACATAGAAACCATAAGGAAGCAACCTAGAAAGAAACAACTCTCAAATTATAAATAATCTCAAATAATTTAACAAATATTAAATTTAAATATAAATGGTATAATTCTTTTCAAGGGATTCCAGAAAAATAGCTGATGTTTTTCAAAAAGACATTTGCAAAGGCAAATCATGAGAGGTACATAAAATTGGTTGTGTACCTCAGAGTTGAAAAACACGGAGTATGTTTAATGATTCTGCATTTGACTTTTCTAATTTGGATTAATGTGGGTACAGAGCTCCTGTTTGTTTGCTTGTTGTTTGTTTGGGGGCCATGTCCACCAGTTTCCAGGCTTTCCTCCTGCTCCGCAGTTAAGGATCAGTCCTGGCAAGCTCGGGAGGACCATATGGGGTGCCAGGGATCGAACCAGGGTCAGATACGTGCAAGGCAAACACGCTGTCTGCTGAACTCTCTAGCCCAAGAGTTCTTTTGACTAAGAACAAGAAAAGGAATTATCAGCTTGGAATTTGAAAACAGTGCACACAACTGGCAGTCTATACTAGTCTCAGCTCTGTCTCTGATCAGCCACCTGACCCTAACTTTAATTGTCTGTTCAGCTGTGAAGTTAAATGAAGACATTTCAAAACCCTTAGTTAGCTCGTAACTTTAAACAAAACTGTATACAGAGCTATAAACAAGTAACATCTTTCACCGCAGACTGATGAACACAAGTTTGGGTGACTAAGTTTAGCTCTCAAGCGCTATCACTTTCGTTGTAATTTTATCCCTATTTTAAATATCTCTCTTTTAATAGTAGGATATTCCTGGAGGCCCTCCCCCCCCCCCCCACGTTCCCCTTTTCTTCTCTTCCCTTTCCTTAGTTATATTGTTGCAATGACCAAAACTCACACCCATGCCTAGAAGTGTTGGTGCATTTTGTGGTGGTGTCCAGCAGGGGTTCCACATCAGGTTCTCATGGGTACTCAGAGGGCCACACTTCTTTAGTGGCATCACTTACACACACGCTCACCTGTGGTCACACTTCCTGGGTATAGTACTTGCCCAGTTCTTAATTCTGGTGCTTACCAAGAGTTGTACCCCTCTAGTTGAGCATGCTTGCACACACACCTGACTGCTTGTGGCACCGGGGATCACAGGGGAAAGAGGGCAGGCTCAGACAGGCGAGCATGCTTCACACAGGCAGAGTCACTGCATCAGATCGTGCCTCGTAGTTGGCGTGCTTGGAAGGCAGGCTCTAAGCCCCTGAGTTCTCTCCCAGAACCCCATCCTTTCTCTAAAAGTCATAAAGTAATAGAGTTGGGGCTGCTTTAGTGGTATTGGAGTTCAGAGTTTTGCATTTTAATCTGATTTTTTGGTTTTGGGGACACAACTTGTTGTGCTCAGGGTTTATTCCTATCTCTGAACTGAAGCTGGGTCGGGGGGCTTTGGGGGACCATGTGGGGTGCTGGGGATCGAACCCAGGTTAGTCACATGCAAGGCAAACATCTTGCCCACTGTACTATCTCTCATACCCTATTTTGCCAATTATTATAAAAACATATAAAAAGGAATTTTTATGTGAAACATTTTCTGGGAATGATAACAAAATAAGTTTGTAATTTTAGTGGTAGTAGACTTTATCATGCAGCTTTGGTTCAAGTTAGTGAAGTTGTACTATGCACCTAATATATCTGTGCAGATTTCTGCATCATCCTTAACTGTTAGATACTGGCATATAACCAGGAATATACATCAGAATGTCCATTGAGGCCTGTAAAAATACTTGCCTCAGTTGAATCAAAAGTGAGACCATTTGCCGTTTCAGGAAGTCCCACAGTCAATTCAGTGGACACCCTAGTGAGACGCTTCACTCAGTAGGAAGCTTTCAGCACTTTTGGGTTGAATGGTTTTGCAGGGGTGGGCTGAGGACTCCTCCCAAGCAGTGCTCAGGAGTTCAGGGACTCCACTAGTGATTCCGAGCCAGACCAGCTGGCAGTACAGTACCAGGGTTACTAGGCCATGCTGGTGGCAGTTTCTGAACAAACATTTTAAAGTTACACTTGTATTTAGTTGTAGTTTTGAGCCACAGATAGTCAATCCAAGTATAAATACATTGTCTATAAGCCGTCTAGGGATGAACCTTATAAAGGATTTCATGTGATGTTTCATACTCTTGATACTCATGGTTATGTCTGTTTCTTCCTAGTGAATGGAGTGCCATAGAAAAGGAAATGGGGGATGGATTGCAGAGTGCTGGCCATCATATGGACGTGTAAGTATCTGGAGAATTAAGGTAAAACAAGATGAATGGCTGGTGAAAGGGGTGGAGTATCCACCCTGCATGCAAGAAGGCCGAGGCCAAGAAGCACCTGGCTGCCTGGGCACTGTGGGTGGAGCACTGAGCTGTCAGTCTCACGTATGGGGCACTGCTGAGGAAGCCCAGCAACACAGCAAAAGGCCTGGTCAGTAACAAGATGGTGGAAATTCTTCTGTCATTGGCTCACATGTATATTATATTTTATACCTACCTATATGCTTATGTGTTGTGACATTTTAAAGTTTATTTCAGGAACAAAAGGTGAACTGAACATTCGGAAGTCAGGCCTGTTCACATACTAGAAGAAAATCTTTCATATATTTAAAAAACATTTGGACGTCTCTTCACAGTAAAACTTCTCACCAAACCAGGGTGAATGAGAGGGATTATAGAGCTAACAACTGAATTTAACAGGGGTTAAGATACAAGATGAATACACTAGAAGTCATTGTTATACTGTCAGCAACAATTGGAAAATAGACATTAAAAACAATAAAAGCAATACTGCTTATCATAGAATCGGTTCAGACCAACTGTACACTAATTTGTTGTTGGTCACTAGGGTACCTCTGGCAGTCCCAGGAGGCCAGGCTGTGCTGGGCGTCAGACCTGGGGCGGCCCAACGGGCACTCTAGCGCTTTGTCTCCTTGGTCCTAACTGCCCGGTTTTTAACCCATCTGCTAAATTTCTTGGTTTTTGTTGCTCAGCCATAGCCTTCAGTACTCAGGGCTGCTCTCTGCAGTGCTCAGGGGACATGTGGTCCCAAGGAGCAAACCCGAGGATCCTGCCTGCAGAGTGTGCACTCTCGCCCTTTAGCTGTCTTCTGGCCCTCAGACAGTTGAACCTTCCTGCATTCTGTTGGCTCAGCATTTTCAGTACTTTCGGAACTGAGAATTCTCTCTCTGGTTGATTTATTGAAGTGTTAAGTGATGTCAATCCCAGTAAAAGCATTCACTCTTTCCCCTTGCATCTTTCTACCTACCTCTGTGCTGTTTATCACTCCCCTGTGTTCCTGTCGTCAGATCGTCACTTTGGTCCCCCTCTTTTTAAAAAATTCTTCAACAGCTCTTTCAGAATCATAAATTTCCTACTCTCAACTGTACTCAGTCATGTAGAAAAAAATTCCACTCTTAACAAATGCAAGCTTGTAGTTATAGAATATATAATTTTCCTATTTTTATAAATCCTATAAACAGTGTTTTCAGTCAGCTGTAATAAAAGCTTATTTTCACAAATTCAGTAAGTTTCATTTTCTTGCCTACATGAAGCAGCCTGGAGACATAAGAATTATATTATTTTTATTCCCATGAGAAGTAATCAGAATTAAGAAATAGGACATGACATAGACCAGGTCCTTATGGAACTTATAATGGGATCAGAGACATAAAATGAAATTCTAAATTGTTTATAAGAAGTCAGAGATGAAGGATCACAGATGTGGCTCAGTGGTATAGCACATGCCTTGCACATGGTTCCACTTCCCAGCACCCACAAAGTATAAAAAAATTATAAAGAGATCTGTGCTTATTGGATCAGGGGAAACTGCAGCTCTGAGAGTGAAGGGCTTGTTCAGATCTAAGCAAAGGTGGCTATTGAGAATATGAATAAAGGCTAAATTTCTTGTAATGTTCATTTGCTTCAATTTTTCTGAGCTTTCTAACATTACTGTGTACTGCTATCAGGAGTGTATACTGTTCTCATCTAATTTTTCTACCAATTTTCTTTCTTTTATAGTATCTTGGAATAATATATTAATATGTACATACACAAATATATGCTTCTTTAAAACCTGTAATAAGAATTTTTTTGCCCCCTAAGGCATTGCTGATAAAAATATTTATAAAATTAACATGGTGGGCCAAAGAGATAGCACATGGAGTAAGGTGCTTTCCTTACAAGGAACCAGTTCAGGTTTGATCCCTGTTGCCACATATGGTCCCCTGAGTACTGCCAGGAGTGACCTGTGAGCACAGATTCTGGAGTCAGCCCCGAGCACAGTAGGTGTGGTCCAACCCCACCCCCCTACCTCAAAACATTTTATCATGTAACTCAGTATTGTTATAAATGTTTACAAATGTTTTGTCTCACTTTCCGTAATTTACTTGCTGGGACAGTCAGTGATCTGTGGACCATACATTGACAATTACTTCTTTTTTTTTTTTTTTTTTTTTTTTATTTATTTTATTTATTTATTTATTGACTCACTGTGGGAAAAGTTACAGAGCTTTCGGGTTTAGGTCTCAGTCATGTAGATACCAAACACATTTCCCTTTATCAATACTCATTTTTAACCCCAAACCCCAATAGACCCCCACCTCCCACCCCTCCCAATTCTTTGTGAGGCAGATGAGTTCTAGTTAATACTCTATCTACTTTGACTAGATAGATTATTTCGATAGAAGATGCACAATTATTGTTTAGAGTTTACGACCCCCCCCCCCCCCAATCAGACATGCTGAAACAGCGTTGTGAAATGATTTGCTTTCTACAACTTGGTTTAAGAATAAAATGATGTCACGCGGATTGCGGCCGCGCAGTTTTGAATTTCTGCTATTTTACTTATTGACTCTGGAAGAATTTCTATTAAAAGTTAGCTAGTTAAGAGATTGGTTTCTGTGCCCTGGAGTCGTGGCTGTGCCGGAGAGCCGCTCGTGGGGGGCAGCTGGCGACCTCGGTGGGGCGTGGGGGACGGCCCACAAAGCCCCCCTTCCCATGAGGTCCCCGCCGCTCCCCCGAGCCCGGCTCAAACCCGCTTTCCACAAGGCTCCCGTGCGGCCGCCATCTTTCTTTCCAGAGAGGAGCGGGCGGGCCGGTCAACGCCCTTCCCCCTCCGGGCAGGCTTGGTGGCGCGGATCAACACAAGTCCATTTGCTTTTCTGCTCCAAGAGGCTGGTTCTCTGTGCTAAGTCCTTGTGCCTCCGGGGCCGTGGCCGTGCCGGAGAGCCGCTCGTGGGGGGCAGCTGGCGACCTCGGTGGGGCGTGGGGGACGGCCCAGAAAGCCCCCCTTCCCAGACAATTACTTCTTTAAGATAAAAGACATGCATTGCTTTTCCAATAGGTATGCATCTTCTATTGATGATATTTTGGAAGATGAAGAACATTATGCAGATCAATTGAAGGAGTATCTTTTCTATGCAGAAGCACTGAGGTAAGTTTAAGGAATGGTCCAGATGTGGCTAGTCACCAAGACCATTTTACAGTTGTTAAAAGCAACTATAAAATAAAGGTAGTAAGATGATTTTTAAGTGAAGTCATTCCTCCAGATATTGAATGAACTTTCACTGAATTTCTCATTATTTCAGAGTGCTAGGTATAGAAATTTAAGGTGTGTCTTCATTTGAAACATACTGATAAATTCATCAATTTCAGACACTAGGTTGCCAAATACTGTGGAAAATTATAGAAGAGCCAGGGGTGTGACTGATGTGATAGAGCACATATGTGAAGCCTTGGATTTGATCTCTGTCATGGCATGTACCCCATGACACTAGGTATGAATCTGGTAGCCCTCAGCACTGTTGGGTGTGGCCCCACAACACTAAAATACTATAGAAAGCTGGGGGTGTGGCTTGGTGGAAATGCACGAATTAAAGATTCGTGTCTTACTGACTTGGAAAGATTTCTATGGTATATAGAATTTTATTTTTAAATAGTGAGCACTTACAACTTTAAAAAAAATAAAATAAGGGGTGGGTGGCCAGAGGTATAAACAGGTAGGGCATTTGCTGTGCACATGGTCGACCTGGGCAGTAGCACAGGAAGTAAGTGCTTTCCTTGCAAGGAGCCAACCCAGGTTTGAGCCCTGACACCCCATATAGTCCCCTGAGCACCGCCAGGAGTGACCCCTGAGTGCAGAGCCAGGAGGAACCCATGGGCACTCCTGGGTGTGGCTGCCCCCCAAAAAAGTGGAGGTGGGGGTCCACACCTGGTGGTGCTCAGGGTTTCCTCCTGGCTAAGCTCAGGGGACCATCTATGGTGCGAGGATATGCCACATGCATGGTAAGCACTTACGCACTGTGCTGGTGCTCTGGCCATACTTACAGTTTTCAGGACAAATATTTCTTAAAGACAAAAAGTCACTGAGATGCCTCTTCAAAGACTGCGCATTGCTTGTGAGATTCCAGCCTCTGTTCCTACGTTATTCTTTGAAATGTGATAATGTATGTTTTGTATTGTTTCTTTGGGTTTGTTTGGATTTTGGTTGCTTGTTGGTGGGGTGGGGGGGGAAGTACACCCAGCGGTGCTCAGGGTTTCCTCCTGGCTCTGCACTCAGGAATCACTCCTGAGTGCTCTGGGGACCCCCTGGGATGCCGGGGATCAAGCCCGAGTTGGCTGCATGCAAGGTCAGTCAATGCCCTTTGTGCTGTGCTCTGGCCCGGATTCTTTTTAATGTTGAAAATCTCCAGGAAGCCACTCTTGTTTCAGTACATATAGGTTTTATGATTAGGTTCTTCAAGATTACATTTTAAACTTGAACATTCTGGTATCAGCTTCTGACCCTAGTAAGACATTATAAATGTTTTCCCGTTAACTGTAAAAAAAGTTTTAGCATGTTGAAAAAGAGAAGCCTCAAAATTGAAATTGCAGTGCTTTTTCCCCAGGGCGGTGTGCAGGAAGCATGAACTTATGCAGTATGATTTGGAAATGGCTGCTCAGGATTTAGCATCCAAGAAGCAACAATGTGAGGAACTGACAACTGGGGTGAGAGTTTTCCTATTGAAGTCTCTGGTATTGTTGCAAGCCTTACATGGAATGAGCAACAGTTGTTTTTACAGGGGCCTAATGTGTGGCAGCTTTATAGTTCTTGGGGTTGCCTTGATGTAAGCTATCTGTGAAACACTATAATGTTGTGTAGTATTGTAGGGATCTTGCTGTTGCTCACTGTGAAGAGTGCCCTTTGGAGGCCCAGGGTTTCTAACTCAGTGGTAGACCACTTTCCTCACGTATGTGATACTCCGAGTTTGATCCTGTCTTTGAGATACACAGACAAAAAACAGCAGTTCTTTTTTGGGTAAATCCAAGTGAAAAAAACACTAGTAAATTGAAATACTGACCTGTAGAAAGTTTGGTTTACTTAAAAGCATTTTCACTTATTGCATATCCTAACGCTGAGCTTCTGTGGGCTCCATTCTGGTATGCTCTCAGTGAGTGCTTGCAAATAGAGTTCTGTATCATCAGCTTCCTACTCTGGCTATTTAATTGGCATAAGTTAGTCTCAGAATTATTAGCACTCCTAATGATCTAGTTCAGAAGGGTAGAGCACAGGCTCTAGAAGCTACTTGATAGTTAACAAGCACTTTGCTTCCGAAGGTCACCACTGCTACTCTTTGCAAAGTGGCATAGATATATGTGGTCAAAGTCCTTTGACCATGAAACAGGTATGTACCACGCTTGGCTTACTTTAATTTTTATTTTTTTAATTGGGCTGGAACAGTAGCACAGCGGGTAGGGCATTTGCCTTATATGTGGCCAACCCGGGTTCGATTCCTCCACCCCACTCGGAGAGCCCAGCAAGCTACCAAGAGTATCTCACCCGCACGTCAAAGCCTGGCAAGTTACCCATGACATATTCAATATGCCAAAAACAGTAACAAGTCTTACAAGTTGTTGTGAGATGTTAGTGGTGCCCACTCAAGCAAATCGATGAACAGCGGGAGGACAGTGCTACTTTTTTAATTACTACTTCGTCACTCTTTCGGACCACACCAAACTCTGCTGAGAGGTCACTCCTAATGCTGCTCCGGGGACCATGTGTAGTACCAGGAATTGATCCAGGGTCAGTTATATGCAAGCAAATCCTCTTAACCCATTCTCTCTCTCTCCAGCCTTTTATTTATTTTTAGGGTTTTTGTTTTGTTTTGTTTTGTTTGCAAGGGCTGGGAGTGGACCACACCCAGAGGTGCTCAGGGCTTACTCCTGGCTCTGTGCTCAGGAATTACTCCTGGTGATGCTCAGGGGATCAAACTCGGGTCAGCCGCATACAAGGCAAATGCTATACTATAGTATAGTATACTATACTATAGTGTATAGTGTAGTGTATACTATACTATAGTATAGTATACACTATACTATCTCTCTGGCCCCTGATTAAAACTTAGGAACTTCCCAGGCCATTTGTTATCTCCAAATTCTGGTCTCTACAAAGGGAATTTGGTTCTCCCACATGTGAATGGAATTTCTCTCAAACTAGAGAGTGTGGAAATGTTAAAGCATTGAAACTTAAAACTTTTCCCAAGTGACTAGGCTTTTATTTCCATTTTTGCCTATTGAATTTTACCTATTTTTTTAAACCTCAGAATAGTTTGGAGGTTTTTTGCTTTTTTTGGGTCACACCTGGTGGTGCACTGGGGTTACTCCTGGCTCATACACTCAGGAGTTATTCCTGGCAGTGCTCGGGGACCCATATGGGATGCTGGGAATTGAAGCTGGGTCAGCCACGTGCAAGGCAAACACCCTACCCGCTGTGCTGTCACTCCAGCCCCTCAGAATAGTTTTTAAAATAGGTGCACTAATATAAAATACAAAGTTGCCCTTATACTTCACCTAGAGGTTTTCTGTATTATTCTAGGATTAGAAATCATTATAAGAGCTCCCTGGTTATAAGGCTTATAGAGAGCTTTAAGGTGTCGGAAATTTTCACGTTCCCTTTTCTTTACATTTTTAGTCTAATAAAATACGCAAAGCATAAAATTTGTCATGAACCATTTTTGTTCGCTTTTGGCCACACTCAGTGGTTGAGGGCTACTCCTGGTTTTGCTCAGAGTGCATGGTGTTCCCGGTTCAAACCCTAGCCTCCCACAAACAACACATGCACTGACTAATTAGCTGTCTCTCCAGCTCCCATGCTAATAACCATTTTTAAGTATACAGTTAATTATTACTAAGTACTTTAGCATTGCTATGCAGGCAACCTTCAGGACTTTTTCTTGTAGAGCTGAAACTCTGTACCCACTAAACATCAATTGTCAGCTTCCTCCTCCAGCCTGGCACCCACCCGAACCTGTTCTGCTTTCTCCTTGTACGAATTTCATGACTCTAGATTCTTCACTTAAATGGAAGCGAACAGTATCTTTCCTTTTGTGACTGCCTCATAATGTCTGCAGAGTTGTAGTCCATGTTGTTGTGTATTTGGGTTTCTTTCCTTTTTAAGATTGAATACTATTTTGTTGCATGTTTACATTTCCCCTTAGACTGTGAGAACATTTTCTCTGAAGGGAATGACTAACAAGCTCTTTGGTCAAGAAACTCCAGAGCAGAGAGAAGCCAGAATAAAGGTGCTAGAAGAACAGATCGGTGAGGGAGAACAGCAGCTGAAGTCTAAAAACTTGGAAGGCAGGTAAGAGTGTGGAGGGGCCTAACCAAGCGAAACAAGGACTGCTTGGCAGGTAGTTTCTTTGCTGCAGTTCTTCTTCCATTAGCACCCCTGCTTTACGCTTGCTCTTCAGAAACTTCAGGGATTTAATTTCTTTAAAAAATTATCAGCGATCATGTAATAGAAACCGTTTCAGTGTGCAGAAAAGAGAGTTTCGTCTTTGAATTATTATTTTCATGCACTTTATTGGACTTCTGTTCATTGCACATGGCCAGTGCCTTTACTCATTATCTGACACAGTGTGATCATTGTCCGTGCCCCGCTCGCGTGTGTTTCCTTCAGGAGGCCTCCTCCTGTACTACTGGCATCATGCCGCTGTAGCTGAACAGTTTGTTTTGTGTTTTGTTTTTTGGGGGGGGTGCCACACCTGTTAGCTCAGGACTTATTCCTTGTTCTGCACTCAGGGATCACTCCTGGTGAGACAGCATGGGGTGCTGGGGACTGAGTATGGATCAGTCGTGTGCGTGCAAGACATCTGCCTCCTGTGCTCTGGATTCGCTGAGAAGCGTAGTATTGGGTGGGTGGGTGGTTGTGTGACTGTTCATGGCCAAATTACAATTTCTTCAAAGTCAGTGACTTTTTTTTTTATCTTTATATTCCAATGCCTTGCATAGGTCTTGATATATAACTACTCTATAACTATTTCTAGAAATTTAAATTTTTTAAGGTCTGCCATCACTATTTAGACTCATCTGATAGTAAGCCAGGGCAGGCAAGAGTGCATCCTTGGTTTTGAATTGGTTTTATTAGTTTTCAGAACTGCAGGGCCGGAGACCATAGGTAGGGCACAGGAGACAGTACAGTAGGTAGGGCACTTGCTTACACTCCGCTGACCTGGGTTCAGTCCCTGGTATCCCAGGAGTGATTCCTCAGTAGAGCCAGGAGTAACCCCTGAGCACTCCTGGGACTGGTAATTTTTTTTTTTAAGAACTGTTGGCATAATGTAAGTTAAAGTCTCATTTATAGACAAATATCACTCAGAATTCTTAAAATTCTTTTATTTAATGCACACTGCACTGTAGCACTGTCCTCCCATTACTCATTGATTTGCTCGAGTGGGCACCAGTAACGTCTCCATTGTGAGACTTGTTACAGTTTTTGGCATATTGGATATACCACAGGGAGCTTGCCAGACTTTGCCTTGCAGGCAGGATACTCTCGGTAGCTGGCCAGGCTCTCCGAGAGGTACGGAGGAATTTAACCCGGGTCGGCCATGTGCAAGGCAAACGCCCTACCTGCTGTGTTATCACTTCAGCCCTATTTAATGCAAGTATATAATAAATATGATATACAGTCTTGATCTTTTAAAAAAGAAAGTTTTTAATCCAGTGGCCCCTGGAAGCTACTTCATGTTACCTTTCAGATCTTTCGTCTGTCAGACTTTGAAAGCAGGTTCAAGGGACCATTAGTCTCTGTTAACAGGAATAATCTGAAGCAGGAATTTTTTTTTTTTTCCTTTTTTAAGCTGTTGTGGAGTCCCTGTGGTGCCTGGGACTTGGCAGTTCGGGGAGTGAGCATGTGCCTAACACATAAAAGACTTGGGCTTTACCATTGGAACCACATCCTAACCCAAAGCTGAAGTTCTTCTGACAAAAATATGGGTTATTAAAATGTCAAAGAATGTATGATGGTCTCTCTTTCCCTAGTATAATTTTCAAGAAGAGAAAAAACAGAAATGTCTTACAAAAGCTATTGTTTACCTTTATTTGGACGAATACCATGTCAGATGAGAACTGATTCTTTGAATTTATAGTTTACTTAAGCAAGAATAGTAACCATATTTTATTATAGAGAATTTGTGAAAAATGCTTGGGCTGATATTGAACGCTTCAAAGAGCAGAAGAACCGTGACTTAAAGGAGGCTCTCATAAGTTATGCAGTCATGCAGATCAGTATGTGCAAAAAGGTGGGTTTTGGTTCCTGTGAAGGTACTTGTATATTTAGAAATGTCTACAAAGTTATTTAAAACTAACTTTTCTTACTTTAGATCAAAGAATTGTTGTTTTAATTTTTAAAGGTTATTCCTCTCTCCTTTCTAGAATGTGTCCTAGTGCTAAATCACTTTAACTTTTTTAAGAAGTGCTGTAACCAAAGTATCAATTACTGAGATTCCACTCATCTATAAGATTCACATTTGTATAACCAGTTAATAAATTATCTTTGAAAATACATTCTGACAACTTTTCTTTGACTATGCAATGTTCTCCTAGAGGGCAGTAAGTGCGCTTCTTTTGCTAGGAGAGGTTTTGGTTTTGGAGATTAGGGGCCACACCTGACTGTGCCCAAGTTCTGTGCTCCTCTGTCATGCTCAGGGATGAGTCCTGACAGGGATCAGGGGACCATATGTGGTGCCAAGGATCTAACCAGAGATGACCGTCATGCATGCAAGGCAAGCATCTTACCCCTGTACTATCTCTCGAGCCCCAAATCCATTTTTTTTTAGGTCACACCCGGCGATGCTCAGGGGTTACTCCTGGCTCTGCACTCAGGAATTACTCCTGGCAGTCCTCAGGGACCGTATGGGATACTGGGAATCGAACCTGGGTCGGCCATGTGCAAGGCAAACACTCTACCCACTGTGCTATCGCTCCAGCCCCCCCCAAATCTACTCTTAAGAGGGATGCATTCTATAATTGGAAAATGGCTGAAGCATTATTTTGGGAAAATGCTTTGATTGTTAAAAAGACTTGTTTTTAGAGTAACTTCATGTAACTGATGCTGTTAAAGGTGATGAACATTGAAACTTAGTCTGGCTACAAGCTGGTGGGGTCTTACCAGTCAGTGCACACACAAGTGCTGACGTTGTGTGGAGTTCCGTGGTGTGGAGTTGTGTGGAGTTGGTTGGAGTTCCGTGGGTCCCTGTTTCTGTGCTGCTCTGTTTCCTCCTGCCTCTGCCGATTTGCTCCACACTGACAGTCTCTCTCTCTTACCTGCTTTCCTTAGTCACTGGGAAGCTGAAAGGTCAGGTCACAAACTTTTTAGAATTGGTTGTGTTTTTCTGAGTTTTTTTCCTGTTGTTTTACGATGCAGGGCATATGCTTCTTGTGATTTTTTTCTATTTCTTTTCTAAAGTAAAATGCAGACTACAGACCTTATAATGTCTTAAATAACTTTTTCCTCCCTTTGCTTGAGGGTGGGTACTTGCAGGTGATAGGAGTTAATCTCTGAATAAAAGTGACATCCTCTAGGCATATCTGAATGTAATGTCCCAGGGCTGGAGAGATAATCCAGGGATTAAGGCACTTGCTCTGGACTCTGGTTCAGTCCCCAGCACTGCCAGAAGTGGATCCTGAGCGTGGCCAGGAGTAACCCTGAGCCAGTTTGGTCCGATTTACTGGCATATGACCTACGTGTACCCTAAGATAGTAACTTAGTAAACAAGTTTACACATTCATGCTGTTAGTGAAAATATATGTTCACTGCTGGAATGATTCTTGAGTGCAGAGCCAGGAGTGACCCCTGAGCATTGCCAGGTGTAGCCCAAAAAGCAAAAAAAAAAAAAAAATTGTTTCTGGGGCCGGAGTGGTAGTATCGTGGTAGTGACCCCTGAGCATTCCTGGGTAAGGTGTTTGCCTTGCACGCGGCCAAGATGGTTTCAATCCCCAGAAGCCCATATGGTCCTCCAAGCACCCTCAGGAGTAATTCCTAGGTGCAGAGCCAGGAGAAACCCCTGAGCATCCCTGGGTATGACCCAAAAAAAGCAAAAATAAATAAAGAATTTTAAAAAACAAAAACAAAAAATCTTTGTTTCTGTAATTCTTTAGATTTTCCTGTACTTTTTTCCAAACACACTGTTTTACTTTTAAAATATTAACTATATTACTCATATTACTCAACATTGCTGATTACTGGTATTACCATTGAGAGGGATTTGGTTCTTTAACATAAAATATCTTTCATCAAAACATTATTAGAGAGATTACATGCAAATAATTGTTTCTCCTTTTCAGAAACATTATCTGTTCACTAGTACTAGCCATTGCCAGAACAGTATTTTATTTGCTGGACTTGTTTGTTATTAATTATTCCAAAAAGTTAAACTTAGTAGGCAAGAACCCCTAGTATGCAAATAACCCAAATATTGCAGCTTTCTAAATCCTTCCAAAATCACTTTTTAATTTTCCCTTTTTATTTTATATTTTATTTTTTTAAGGGAATTCAAGTTTGGACCAATGCTAAGGAATGCTTTAGCAAGATGTAATCCTTCGAAACGAATTTCTCTTCAATCAAAATGTCCCAAAACAGAAGCACAAGTAAATTTATTTTTAATTTAAGTTGTTAACCCAGTAAACATGAAATGCAAATTGATTAGATTTAACTTTTTAAATTTTAACTGTAGTTGTGTTAATATTGCATAAGAAGGATAGGATGTATTTTAATAGTAAAGATTAATTATTATAATTTGAGGTTTTGGGGACTGGTGCTGATTCTAAAATGTTTGTTTGATGATACATACCAACAGACTGTCAGGCTTCTGAACCAATGACTTGATGTCAAGATGTTAAGTAATTTCTAGATGTTTGTTTCAGTGTCAACTGTTTGACATCTGTGTATGTAGGGAGTTGTTGTGTTTTTTTTCCCTAAGATTGAGTTTCTATCTTTACTTGGTAAGACCCGCTAATACTGTTAGGAGGGTTAGTTTTTCTTGCCTTATAGTTGAGCTGTTTGGTTTGACAAGGCTCAGCAGAAACCTAGTGTGAAATCAAATATTTTCTCTCACATTCAATGATGTCCCCAGTAACGTCCACATATACTAGAAAATGCCTTCAATTTTTGTTTTACCGGAATTTTGATATTGGTCAAAATTTTGTATTAACAACGAAAAAGACAACTTCTCAGAGTAAGTAGAAGAATATACATTGTTATGATAGAGAACTTGCTATATAGAAAGTTTTAATTGAATATGTTATTACATATTACGTATAAGCATTAAATTCTTAAATTTTTCTTAACCTCAGCAATGAGCCTAAATCTCCTCTGTTTGGCTCTCTACACATGGCACTTCAGGGTACAGATGTAGCATTTCAGTGTATGAGACATATGCGGTAACTGTGTTAACATCTTCATTATTCACATCCTTTCCTATTGCTTGGCTGTAATTTTTGTAAAGATAAATTATGTTTCTATGTGTGCTTATTTGTGGTATATTTTCAGAAGCCAAGCTCCCTCATTGTGCTTGCTTTTCAGAATCTTAAATGTGTACTCATTACTAATTATGTAAAAAAAAATAAAAAAATTCCCAGTACTGTTTAGCATTTGACTTTTTTACATGTTTAAAATGTTACTGGATTTTTGTGCTGTTGCCAAACTTAAAAATAAAGTATTGTGCTGGTTTTCAAATGGTTTGGGTTATTTTTAACAAGTGATATATGCATTTTAGAACCTGATGCCCTGTAAGAAAGCATACCAGTACATGCTAAATTTTGTGTTGAAGTGTTTACCTGTGTAAATTTGCCTTATCAAAATGTTGGTTTCTTTTTGAAAGATAAATAGTGTGCTGAAACGATAAGTTGCTTTGAAATTTCTAGCTTTTAAAATGAGGCACACCCTTTGGTGCTTCAGAAGTACTCCTGGTCCAGTACTTAGAGTTGCTTCAAGTTTCTTTTTATTGTGGAGGCCAAGTGCATTAGGCTCCAGGGGTCACGGTGGTGCTGGGAAGAAGTAGAGGAGGGGGAGCCTGCGATGCTGAGATTGAACCAAGGTCCTTGCACATGTAAACATGCTTCTTTTTTTCAAACGTGGGAGTGTTTGTTTCTCAAATGTGCTGTTTATTGAGACACTGACTAAGATGACTGAAGGGGACAGGAACTCCACGTTACTTTGTTTTTTAATTTTTTGTTGAATATCCATGAGATAGATCATTACAAAGTTTTCATGATGGGGTTTCAGACATACAATGATCCAGCACCCATCCCTCCACCAGTGTACATTTCCCACCACCAGTGGCCCCCGTTTTCCTCCCACCATCCCCGACACCCCACCCCCAGCCTCCCTCTATGGGAAGCACTTTCCTTCTTGCTCTCTCTCTCCTTTTCCTTTTATGCATTATGGTTTGCAGTACAGGTGTTAAGACGTCATGGTGTTTGTTCAGGGCATTCAGTATTTTTATCTGGATGGTGAGGCTGGAGTAGCTTTTGAACTGGGTGGCCACTTTGGGGTGTGGATGTAAGGCTTCCGAAGTAGAGGGAGTTGTGGGGAGGTAGCCCATCCTGACCCCGAGAAAGCCTGGAGATATTAGTCACAAAACGCACATATCTGAGTTTTCAACAGGTTAGGTCTTGGTGAGGTCCATCCTGAGACGGTAGAGTCAGGCCAGGGGCATGGCAGTGACTTTGGATTGTGGGAGCAAGTGGCTGTTGGGGGCTCTGTTTGGGCAAGCACAGGCCAACCTCCCCTCCCCCCCCCCCCCATTTACCCTAGTCTATTCAGCTATGCGCGGGTCTGAGATTAACTGTAGCCTTTAATCTTGCTGATATTTATTTATGGGTCTCAGAAGCAAGGCTGGGAGTAGAGTTTACATGGTGGCACTGGAGCTGGTTCATGGGGATGACTGTCCATGTTTCCAGGAATACTGGAAGTGGGAGGAGGTAGCCCATTCCAACTCCGAGAAAGCCTGGAGATTTCAGTCACAAAACCCACGTATCTGAATTTTCAACAGGTGAGTTAATATCTCGGTGAGGTCCATTCTAACAGTGGAGTCTGACTGAGGGCATGGTGGTGATTTTGGATTGTGGGTTCTGCTTGGGTGGGCACCAGGCTAACCTGCCCCCCTCCAGTTTACCCCGGTCTGTGCAGCCATGCACAGATCCAAGATTGTTACTGTGTTACTGTGCTTGGCATACCGAATACGTCACGGGGAGCTTGCCAGGCTCTGCCGTGCGGGCGAGATACTTTCAGTAGCTTTCCGGGCTCTCCGAGAGGGGCGGAGGAGTCGAACTCGGGTCGGCCATGTTGGCTGCGTGCAAGGCAAACGCCCTACTGCTGTGCTATCGCTCCAGCCCGATCCAAGATTAACTGTGGCTTTTGATCTCTTTTGAGATTTACTTTTGGATCTCGGAAGCAAGGCCAATAAATGAGCTTCTATAGCTGAGCCAGAGGTGGTTTGTGGATGTGGCTCCCACATAACTTTTTACCGTTGAATTTCTCAGGAAACTTGGTCCTGAGTTGTTGGGATCCAGCCAGAGGCACAGCGGCAATTTGGGGGTATTAGGAAGCCTGAAGCCACTGTCAGGCTGCTGATGCACTTGCCCCGCAGGTACAGTTGACCTGTTGACAGCACCCCACCCCCTCAAGGAATATTCTTTACCACTTCCCTGACCCCTATACATTTTTCCCTATACTTTTTTGAAAAGATGAAATTGTTACATTCAAAAGTCATCTATGTGAACACACATTTCTATTTGATTGTGTTGTTTCTTGACTCATGAAATAAAGTACTTGCCATTTGCAGTTAAAAATCAAAAGCTGATGCAGAAAAGGTACCTGTAACCCTGTGTTTATTGCAGCACTTTTCACAGTAACCAAAATCTGGAAACAACCCAAGTGCCCAAGAACACATAACTAGATTTAAAAAAAAAAAAAACGATAGTACAGGGGCAGCAGCAGGTAAAGCACTTGTGTTGCATGCAGCCAACCCAGGTTTGGTTCCTGGCATCCTATATGATCCCCTGAGCACCACCAGGAGTAATTCCTAAGTGCAGAGCCAGGAGTAACCCCTGAGCATCACCAGGCATGCCCTGCCCTCCTCCCCTCTAAAAGAACAGTGGAATACTACATGGCCATCAGGGGAAAATAGGTAATGGGGCTGGAGCCATAGTACAGCAGGGAGAGCATTTGCCTTAAACCTGGCCAACCCAGGTTCAGCCTCCTGCATCCCATATGGTCCCTGAGCCCTGCCTGGATTGATTCCTGAGTACAGAGCCAAGTGTAAGCCCTGAGCACCACTGGGTGAGGCTCCCCGCCCCATACTCCCCCCAAAAATAGAAATGAAAACAATGAAGTGATGAAATTTGCTGATACATGGACGGACATGGAGAGTGTCATGCTGAGTGAAATGAGTCCAAGGGAGAGGGCAGACATAGAATGAGGACACTCGTTTGTGGGCTGTAGAGCAACGTAGGAGTGTAATGCCCAAAGACAGTAGAAATGAAGGCAAGAGGACTGGTCTGAGTAAGATTCTTGTCACAGAGCGGGGAGGACAACAGGTAGGCCAGAAAGGGACCACTGCCAGTAAAGGAGGAAAGTGATCGCTCTGGACAAGAGCTGGGTGCTGAAAGGAGCAAAGTGATGCGCATGACACTCTTTCAGAAACAGTATTGCAAACCACAGTGCCTAAAGGGAAAAGGTCAGTAAGAAAGACGTCTGCCATAGTACGCAGGGTGACAATAGGGAAACGGGACATTGGTGGAGGGAAGTGGGCCCTGGTAAGGGTTGGGTGCTTGACACTGTATGACCGAAACTCAATCATCAATAACTTTGTATCTCACAGTGATCCAATAAGTTTTTTATTTAAATTTTTAAGTCAAAAGCTGGGGGCCAGAGTGCTAGCTCAGTGGGCTGGAACTGCTTTGCACGGAGGAGGCCTGAGTTTGATACCTGGCACTGCATGTTCTAGCACCACTGTGAGCGACCCCTCATGCGGCCTGGGAGGAGCCCTGAGTGTGGCTGGGTGGGGCCCAACAATGGGGAGTCAACAAACAGCTTTTACAGAAGCAGCTTAGTAAACAGAATTGTATAGTTTTTGCCTTTTTTTTTTTAAATCTTTTTGGCTTTTTTGGGTCACACCTGGCAGTGCTCAGGATTACTCCTAGCTCTGCACTCAGGAATTACTACTTGGCATTGCTCTGGGAACCATATGGTATGCCAGGTAATTGAACCCAGGTTGGCCACATGCAAGGCAAACACCCTACCTGAGGTACTATCGCTCTGGCCCCCATAATCATATATTTTTTAAAAGATATATTTTCCCTCCAAGAGGGCCTCCGTCCCTCTCAGAGAGCCCGGCAAGCTGCCGAGGGTATCCCGCCCGCACAGCAGAGCCTGGTAAGCTACCTGTGGCGTCTTTGATATGCCAAAAACAGTAACAATAACGGGCCTCATTCCCCTGACTGAAAGAGCCTCCAATACGGCAGCGTTGGGAAGGACGAGTAAGGAGAGGCTGCTGAAATCTCAGGACTGGGGTGATTGAAGACATTACTGGCGCCCGCTCAAGCAAATCGATGAATAGTGACGACCGTGATACAGTGATTATTTCCTCTACAGTGTGCAGATAGGAGCCAGGATGCAGCTGTTAGTAGAGGACATGTTTTGTCTGTGTGAGGCCCTGGGTTCGATCCCCAATATCGCCAAAAAAAAGTTTTAAAAAGACTGAATAAAATAAGAATGTATAAATATCCATTTTGTTATATGCTTATAGCTGTGAATATCTTGATGGATTGGTTTTGGAAATGCGTTTTATTTGGCAGCACAGTCATTTCTTTAAAATAAAAATCTGGGGGGTATAGTACAGGAGGTCGAATGCCTGCCAACTGGAGTCAATCCCCAGCGTCCCATCCCCAGTACCAGGAGTGATTTTTGCATACAGAGCCAGGAGGAACCCCTGAGCATAGCCGGGCATCCTCCAAAAACATGATAAAGAATAAAATATGGAGGCTGGGGAAATAGCCCAGCAGGCCAGAGCTCTGCATGTGGAAGGCCTAGGTCTAGTCCTGGGACTGCAGGGTCCCGAGAGTGACTGAGCACAGCGCCAGGAAGGGCACTTGAGCACTACCAGGTATGGCCTCCCAGAAAAGAGACAAAAGGGAAACTTTTAAAGGGATTTCATGCTAGAAATCAGATACCCGTAGAGAAAACAGTAATATCTGCATGACCATTTTCGGTATTTAAGCATCAGAACTAGGACCAAGAGATGGTACTGGCGTTGAGGCCTGTGTCTTGCATGCAGCTGATCCTGGTGTGGTTTAGGGAGCATTGCAAATACAGCTGGGTATCTCCGGGATTCCCAGCATGGCAGGCCTATCAGCACTGCATCCTCAGGTGGTCACAGGAGTAGCCCGTCCCTCTGAGCAGGACACCCTGGGGGGCTCCCAGGCCTCTTGAGTACCACTTATCAGGTCCAACAAGTATAATTAAAATTCAGAGCTCAAATGATTTTAAAAGGGTGCTTAGAGCTCCAAAGATAAATATAAAAAAGAATACTACAGGTTATAGCTAAAGGAAGATGGCTTGTTACATCAGTGTAAATAATATAGAGGAAGATTTCATCTTGATAATGCACATGGGATGCAGTTGCCATAGTCAAAGTATAAAAATTAATTTAAGTCACACTTCGCCTTTACTTACATCAAAATACTTGAGTAAGGATAAATGAATGAATCATTGCTAATTACAATACTGCATCCAAAGCAGGAATTGAATTGAGGGTG